AATGTAGGAAAGTGCAAAGTCATCCACCTCGGTAGCAAAAACACTAGAGCAGGTTATTTTTTAGAAGGGGAGAGATTGGAACGTGTTAGCGTCCAGAGGGACTTGGGAGTCCTTGTACACCAATCACAGAAAGTTAGTCTGCAGGTGCAGCAGCAATTAGGAAGGGGAATGGTATGTTAGCATTCATTATGAAAAGATTAGAGTATAAGAGTAGGGAAGTCTTGCTGCAACTGTATAGGGCCCTGGTGAGACCTCACCTGGAATACTGTGTACAGTTTTGGTCTCCTTATTTAAGTAAGGATGTACTTGCCCTGGAGGGGGTGCAGCATAGATTTACTAGGTTAGTAAATTAAGGGGATGAGTTACGAGGATAGGCTGACCAATTTGAGCCTATATTCTCTCGAATATAAAAGAATTAGAGGGGATCTTATAGAAACCTATACGATCATCAAAGTCCATGATAGAGTAAATAGTGGGAGATTGTGTTCCCCGGTTGGAGAAACTAAAACCAGGGGTCACAACCTTAAAATCAGAGGCAGCCCTTTCGCACTGAGTTGAGGAAGAACTTCTTCACTCAAAGGGCAGTGAATGTATGGAACTCACTACCCCAAAGGGCTGTTGATGCTCAGTCCTTGAACATATTCTTATTGGTTTCTTATTGCAAAAGGATTAAGGGATATGGGGATAAGGCAGGATCAGGTTATTAGCTGGAGTTAGATTAGAAGATAAGCCATGATTGAATGGCGGGGCAGGCTCAAAGGGCCAATGGCCTACTCCTGCATGTTATGTTATTATGTTATATATAGTACAACACTAGCTCCTCTTCTCCCGATACGGTCCTTCCTAAACAGCTTACAACTTTCCAGATGCATGTTCCATTGATTGTATTCATTCCACCATATCTCTGTTATGGTAATGATGTATAATCTGTCACCTCCTAAAAGACTTCCACATCAAGCATCTTATTTGTCAGACTCCTTGTATTAATGCAAGTACTGCTCCATTTTTTTTGCCTTTCTCATTTACTTATAGCATTTTTTATTTATTTTTCTCCAACCTTTGGAGTTAGACTCGTTAAACTTGGATTCATGTTTTCACTGGTCCAAGACTTAAGGTTTTCTCTATCAGTTCAGATGCTCTCTTACAAATGTCAATTTTTATTGTATCTTTCACTCCATCTCTCTGCTTCTCCAACTCCATCTCCATCTCGGTCTCTCTCTGACCAGTGCTCTCTCTTAACCCATCTTTCAATCCAACTCTGTCTCCATCACTCTCTCTTATTTCTCCCTGTCTCTTCATCTCACTCTACAGACAGTGTATCTGAAACACACTCAGACAGAGCTGGAAGCCTCGCCCCACCTGGGTGGTGAATTGACTGTGTAATAATCCTAATGATCTTTACATCTGACACGTCAGGAGGATGTCTCAAAGCGCTTCACAGGATTGACTCGATATCCTATGATAAGGATTTAAAGTGCAGTGACTGTATTTGTGGGCAAATACAGCAGCCAATTACTCACATCACCCATAAATCCCATCACCATGCTTAAGGATATCCAAATAAAACTGATGGCTCCATGTATCCCATCTAAACATGGAAATTCTCAAGATATTTATTGGAATGGAATGCACACTCGTCCTGGATGGACACATCCTGCTTACCTAATTCTGTAGAGTGTTAGGTGCAAGCCAGCAAGAGCCAAGGCTTGAGGACCCTAGAGTGTGCATTGAGGTAACTGCTGGAATCTAACCAGCTAAAACTTGCTGTTTTCCAAGCAAGGACCATCCAACCCGTTATGGCTTTGGCTTGCAGGGTTATCAGGAGTTGAGTGGGAGGATTTTCTAGCCCCACTAACTGGTGTGCCCTTCTAGGTCCTGCCGATGAGCCAGGCTGGGCTCTGCTGCCACTATCAGTGCCCTGGAATACTGCAGACCCACCTGGCTCAGGAACCGGACTGGAGACCACCACAGAGTCTTGTTCCCGACATTTCATTGCCAGGCATGTTACCTTGGAGCCAGTTCAGCTACAAGAAGACCCTGTTTACCTCCACTCCCCCCTTCCCCCAAAGGAGGACAGTCACTATGTGATCCGACAAGCACGGGTTTGAACCTCACTAGGGGGATGGCAGGTACCAGGAACTCCCTACGAGCTTCCTGATGGGCAATTCAGCTCAGCATGAAATGTGTGAGAGCATTGTTACCATCTTCCTGCCCACAGCTCGGGCACATGTCCCTCTCCCATTGAGTGATGGTTCCACCAAATGGAGATGCGGAGCTTGAGCAGCAACTGCTGGCCTCTCTGCAGCCAATCAAGGTGGATTCCAGCTCTGGAACAGTGTTCCTAAACTTAGACTCCAGGTAACGCCTTCTAGCAGCCCCAACCCTCAGAATTTCCTCAACAGCTATCTGATGCACATCTGCCTTCAGCTTGATGGGTAGCCATGAAGCGAACAAATAATTTTATTTGGGGGAATTGTTGGCCAGGGCACCAGAAGAAACTGCTTTCTTTTTGGAATAGCGCAATGGGATTTTTAATGACCACCTGAACAGGCAGATGGGACCTCAGTTTAACATCTGATCTGAAGGACGGTGCCTCCCAGCAATGCATTGGAGCATTAGCTTAGACTGTGTCCTGACGTGGGGCTTGAACTCACAACCTCCTGACTCAGAGATGAGGGTGCTACCAATATAGCATTTAGAGAAACAGGTTGGATGAACATTCAGTGTAATTATTTGGCTGTTATAGCAACACCTGCCAGAAGTCACTTCTGCACACCGTTTTTCAAAACCCCCACAGGCTAAGTATTCTTTTATCATTTCTATTCACTTCTTCCATGACCTCCTCCATTACCCCCCCATCCACCATGCCCTACCCCTCTAGCTTTGCATCAACAAAGCAATGAGAGCCTTCCCCTCTGAGCGGTCTCCTCTGCTGTCTCTCACTCAGTCCTCTCTCCCCGCACTCTCCTAGCCTCTCTCTCCTGGACCCCATCACTGCCTCAGTCTGCTCCAGTTTGGGAATCCTTGGCCAGGCCTATTGTGGCTCTCGGCAATAGTTGCAGCCACCCCAACTTCACCATCCCCCACTCTCCCCAACACAGCGTTCTCCCCACCTCCAAAAGGCAAACACCCTTTCCCTCATCCACATCCTTACCCTTCCCAACTCGCCCCCACTCTCCATTGTCACTTTTCCCATAGAGCCCAAAACCCTCCCTATCCTCCCTCCCATGCCCTCCTCCTCCAGTTCACCCACTCTCATTTCTCTCCAAATGCCTGCTCCCTCTCCAATAAAGCCCTCATGATCCATGGCCTCAACCTGTATTGGGCTCGCTGAAACCTGCTGTCTCCCAGTGACCCTGCCCTCTTATTGAAGCCTCCCCGCTCTGACTACACCTTTCACCACATCACACACCCCCACCGCCCAAACCGACGCAGTAGCAGGGTAACCTTCATCACCCAAACTTCACTTGAGTTCCTCATAAACACCCTTGCTTCCTCAGATTTCTTCTTCTGGACTTTCACCCACAGCGATCCTGATGCAGCCATTAAGCTGCTGTACAACCGCCTCTCTGCAGCCCTCAATTCCCTTACCACCTGAAATCCAGCTCTAGTCTCCAAAGCTGACTGCTCCCCCTGGTGTAATAATACCTCTGTTCCCGCAAAACTAATGGATGATCAAGCACAGATGGCACAAATCAGGCCTCACAATCCACCACCAGCTGTGGCTTGAGGATCTCTGCAATTATCGCCTTTCCCTCTCACAGGCCCAAACTGCCTTTTACTCTAAAACCATTTTGGAGCCCTGGAACAACCCTCCCACTCCACTGCCCCAAGCTGCCTCCAACCTCACCTCAAATGGCAAGCTTGAAGAGGTCCTAGACATCTTCATGTCAAAGTTTGAAAAAATCCGCTTGGCTTCATCCTCCTCCCCTATATCCCCTTGTGCACCCCCCCAGATCATTTACACCACCCCTCCACCATGGGCCTTCCCCATTCCTGCACTCCTTTACTCCAATTACTCCTACCTCCCTCTCAACCACCATCTCCCAGGTGAAGCTCACCACCTACTTCCTTGACCCCTCCATCCCAGTTGTTGCTGGCCACCCAACTCCCCCTCCTCTCCCCACTGCTAGCCAACACTATCAACCAGTGAATCTCCTCAGGTTCTGTTCCTCCCCCCCTTAAAGCCGTTGTCATTACTCCCCTCCTCTAAAGAACCATGCTTGTCCCCTCCAACCTCACAAATGATTGACCCATTTCCAACCTGCCCTTCAATACCAAAGCTCTGGAATGTGCTGTCGCTAACCAGCTTTGTTCTCACCTCTCCCTCCACTCACTCCTCAAGTTAGTTCCACTCTGCCCATAGCACAAAGACAGCAATTATCAAGGTCACAAACAACATCTGGGACCAGGGCTTCCTCTGCCTCCTCATCCTCCTGAACCTCCTCCACCGCCTCTCCTCTCACATCCACTTCAGTGGGATTGCACTAGCCTGGTTCGAGTCTACCTAACAAACTGCCTTTACTTTATCTCCTCAAATGGTTTCTCCACCCGCTCCCGCCCAGTCACCTGTGGTGTACCCCAGCACTCCATCCTTGGCCCACTCCTTGGTGCTATATAAATGCAAGTTGTTGCTATAAAAATAATCCTTGCATTTGATATAGCACCTTATCACATTGCTGAAATGTCTCAAAGCACTTCACAGAATATATTTTGTGCATTTTGTAGTCAGTGCCCCAAAAACATTCGTGAATTGAGCAACCAAATTATTTTATTTTGAAGCGATTATTACCCTCAGAAAGCAACCTTCCAATTCCTACTTACTACTAGGTAAAGAGAAGTGTGTGGAATAAGGAAACTTGCCCAAGGTTTTGCCCTGCCAGAAATCAAACTAGACTCCTCTCGCTTGAGAGGGGAGCACGCTGACCACTGTGCGACAGGACTCCACAATGTAATTATGTTAATAAAATATGTGGGTAGATTATAAGGGTGAGACTCACCCATGTAGACTGAGGCAATGGCTGGGCTGGAGCAACACAGGCAGGAAGCTGAGCACAGCGAGGCCCAGAGCCATGGCCTGATTCTGCGATTGGCGTCACCGGTTCTTGAAGCTGATAGCAAAAAACAATGTCACTCTGTTATTGTGTGATACACAGCCAGACACGGACACAGACGCGGTCAGACGTAGACACGGCCAGACGCAGATGTGGACACACACACGGCCAGACATAGACACGGACACAGACTGGACATAGCCAGACACAGACGACATAGACACAACCTGACAGAGACACAGACAGACATAGTCATAGACAGACAGACACGCACATAGCCAAACATAGACACAGACCGGGGGTGGGGGTGGGTGAGACTTTGATCAAGGGGACAGGGTCACTGGGGGACAGCCACATTATTGTGAGACATGGAAAGGGACACAAACATAGAATGGTTCTAGACAGTGACACGAGCAGGGACACGGGCAGGGACACAGACAAAATATGGACACAGACAAACAGAGATACCGACATGGACACAGACACAAAAGACAAAGAAAGACACAAGCAATGACATGGATAAAGACACAGATGCAAACGCAAACATTGACAAAAACATGGCAGAGAGATATGGACATAGAAACAGACAAGGACAAAGACGTGAATACTGACACAAACGCTGACACGGGTCCAGACACAGACAATAATAGTGACCATGTCTGCCTGGACACAGATGTAAAGACAGACACACACATGAATATGTACAGGGTCAGGGATCGGGACAGGTCAGCAACACAAACAGGGGCATAGAATGATCATGTATACAGACACCAACATAGGCGCGTATATAGACATGGACATACATGCGGACAGACATGGATTGGACACAGAAACAAATATAGATACACACACGAGCACATGGACTAAGATGCAGACAGAGATATGGCCACAACCACATAGACACAGGAACAGATAAGGATGCAGAGACAGACAAACACATGGAAATGGATATAAACACAGATGCAGAGATGGTAAGGTCACAATCACGGGCACATACGGACATAGGCACACACAAGGACCAGGATAGGGTCAGGGAAATGATCATGGCTACTGAAACAGACATAAAAACAGACTCAGACAAAGACATGGACACAAACATGGACAGGGACACAGAGCAGGAAGTGGATATGGGCATCAGTACAGACACAAACGGAGCTCAGACATGAACTAAACATGGACACAGCAATGGACACACGCCTAGACACTGGTATGGACACACACATGGATATATACATAAACACAGACAAGGAAATCAATAGGGACACAGGCATAGACACTGCAATAGATGTGGGCACGGACACGGACACAGGTCCAGACAAAGGCACAGACATGGAAAAAAACACAGCAGAAGCACAAATATGGACACTGACAAGAGACATGGCAGAAGCATGGACAAATACCAACATGAGCTTCAAATAATAATAATCCTTGCATTTGATATAGCGCTTTTCACGTCGGGAGGACGTCCCAAAGCGCTTCACAGAACACACTGTAAAGTGAATTGACTGTATATTTGTGGGCGAACGCGGCAGCCAATTGCGCACAGCAATGTCCCACAAACAGTCGTAGATTGAAAATGACCAATTTTTATTATTGTTTTTGGAGGGATTATTATTAGGCTCTGTGTGGAGTAAGGAAACTTGCCCAAGGTTTCGCCCTCTGCCGGAATTGAACTCAGGTCTCTCGCTTACAAAGCGAGTGCTCTAACCACTGAGCTACAGGACTCCATGGAGACAGACGTAAATACAAACATATACAGAGACCCAAACATAGACATGGATTCAGACACAAGCACAAACAAGGACACAGACATGGACCTGCACATGTATATATACATACCTAGACAAGGGCGTAGACACGTACTTTTCTTTTGTGAGCTGAGTGTCTGAAACCTATCACCTTGGATAAGAGTATCCAAACCAAACTGAGATTTCTATGCATCCCACTTACACATTGAAATCCCAGAGACAGATTGTTGGAATGGAATGTCCACTCCCTCCTTGGAGGGACATATCCTGTTTACCTAATTCTGGAAAGTATTAGGCATAGGTTGGCAAGAGCCAAGGCTTAGAGACCCCAGAGTGTGCATTGAGATACTTCTGGAGCCTAACCAGCTGAAACTGCATATTGCTGTCTGGCAAGCTTTCTTGTTGCTTGTCCAGCTAGGACCATCCTACCCATTAGGGCTTTGGCTTGCAGGGTTAACATTAACTGAATGGGAGACTCCCTGCCACGAGTGCCTGACCTTCCAGATCCTGCTATGCTATCACCAGCAGTGGAATACTGCAGACCTGTCCGGATCAGGAACCAGACTAGAGAGCGCCACATAGGCTTGGCTCACTTCTGACATTTCATTCAACCAGTTCAGCTCCAGAGACCCCACTTACCTCACCCTCAAGGAGAGTCACTAGTTGAATGTTCAATATCTGACAAGTGCAGGTTTGGGCCTCACCAGGTGGATGAGAGGTACCAGGAACTCCCTGTGAGCCCCGGTGAGCAATACAGCTCAACATGAAAAGCCTGAGCATTGCCACCATTTTCCTATCCACAGCTCAGGCACACATCACTTCCCACTGAGTGATAGTTCCACCAGACGGAGGTGTAGAGTTTAAGCAGCAACTCCTGGCCTCTCTGCAGCCAATCACAGTGGGTTCCAGGTGCTTGGACGTATGAACAGGTGTTCACAAACTCAGACTCCAAGGAACGCCTTCCAGCAGCTGTTGCCCCAAGCCTCAGATTTTCCTCATCAGCTATCTGATAGACATCTGCCTTCAGTGTGGTGGGAGGAGCTTTGCAGGTCAGTTTGTGATGTGCCAAACACCTTGATGTTCTCGAGGTCCAAGTCCATTGCCATGTACCTGGCTTACTTAGCACCAGCTGCTCCATCCAGGTCCTCATGTGAGGGGCCTTGGCAAATAAATAAATAAATGAAGCCACCTCCAGTGATTAGTGATCAGCTCCCGTACTATCTCCTACTCTCGCTCCTCCCCTGGTTCACCACCCACCTCCGCTCACTGAAGAGCCAGGTGTGGGCCGCTGAACGCACCTGTCTCAAATCTGGCCTAACGGTCCACCGGCAAATCTGGGTGGACCTCCTCAAAATCTACCACTCCACTCTAGCCTGGATAATCCTGGAGGCGAAGTACAACCCCAGGCTACTGTTTTCTACCACATTCCGACTCCTCCGTCCCCCCCGCCACCCCGCGCAGGTCATCTCCTCCAACCTTCACTGCGAGGAGATGCTGGATTTCCTTGAATCCAAAATCAAGGGAATCCACTCTGCGGTCACTTCCCCTCCAACCTCCACCCATCCCCCACCCCTTCCCTCCCACACTCCGACTCCTACCCATCATCCCCTACACACCTTCAAACCCGTTTCCCCACCCTCTGTCACCAAACTCATCCTGTCCCTGAAACCCACCACCTGCTCCCTTGACCACATTCCCACTCCATTCCTTATCTCTCAGCACCACCTCCTTGCCCCACATTTCACAGACATTATCAACCTGTCCCTCTCCTCTGGCTCTGTTCCCATTCCCTTAAAAACTGCCATCATCACTCCCACTTTGAAAAAACCCTCACTTGATGCGTCGCAGCTATCAAGCTACCGGCCCATCTCCAACCACCCCTTCCTGTCCAAGGTCCTTGAAAGAGTTGTGGCCTCCCAGCTGCGCTCTTTCCTCTCCACCCATTCATTATTCGAACCCCTTCAGTCAGGTTTCCGTGCTGCCCACAGCACAGAAACCGCCCTGGTCAAGGTCACCAATGACATCCTAACCATCTGTGACCAGGGCTCCCTCTGCCTCCTCGTCCTCCTCGTCCTCTCGGCAGCATTCGATACGGTCGACCACGCTATTCTCCTCCACCGCTTGTCCTCCCACCTCAACCTTCAAGGCCCTGTCCTTGAGTGGTTTAGGTCGTACCTCTCCCACCGTCTTCATTTTGTTTCCACAAACGGCTTTTCCTCCACCCCCCGCACTGTCTCGTGCGGTGTCCCTCAGGGCTCTGTCCTCGGTCCCCTCCTCTTCACCCTCTATATGCTCCCCCTGTGGTGACATCATCCGCAGACATGGGGTTAACTTCCACATGTATGCGGATGACACCCAACTCTACTTTTCCTCCTCTACTCTCAACTCCAGACCCCCGATGTCCTGACAGCTGCCTGTCCGACATCGAGTCCTGGACGAGAGATAACTTTCTTCAGCTCAAGGTGCGCAAAACTGAGGCCCTCCTGATTGGCTCACGTCAGCGCCTCCGCACCTCAGGGGCTGACAGCGTCAGCATCCAAGGCTGCACTCTCCACCTCTCAAAGCCATCAGGAACCTCGGCATTCTGTTCGACCTTGAGCTGTCCTTTCTTCCTCATATCCGCGCCACAACTGGCACCGCCTTCCATCACCTCCAAAACATCGCCAGACTACGGCACTACCTCACCCCTCACGCTGCTGAAACTCTGGTCCACGCCTTTATCACCTCAAGGCTGGACTATGGGAACTCTCTCCTCGCCGGCCTTCCCGGCCCTCCCTCCACACTGCAGGTCATTCAGAACTCTGCAGCTCGTGTACTGTCCCGCACCAGGATCCGCGCCCACATCACTCCCACCCTCACCCTCACCCTCACCCTCGCTCCCCTCCACTGGCTCCCCATCCCCCAGAGGATCGAATTCAAGATCCTCATCCTCGCCTACAAGGCCATTCACGGCCTCGCTCCCTCCTACCTCTCCGACCTACTATCCCCCTACTTACCTGCCCGTACCCTCCGTTCCTCTGGCTCCGGTCTGCTCCACATCCCCCGCCCCAACATCGGTGGCCGGGCCTTCAGCCTCTCAGCCCCTAGGTTCTGGAACTCCATCCCCCAGTGCCTTCGCCGCTTCCTCCCTTTCCTCCTTCAAGGCCGATCTCAAGACCTTTCTTTTTGAGCGTGGCTTCAGCTCCCCTCTCGACTCTCTACCCCCTCCTCGCTCCCTCCCTTCCCTTCCCTCACCCTGACCATTTTCCCCCCTGCTCAGGTCCTGACCCAACTGTCCAGTGCCTTGGGATGTCTTTCCGACGTGAAAGG